CACCTTTGACAAAAATCAAGTCAAGGTGGATCAAAGATCTAAATCTAAGACCTCAAACTATAAAACTCTTCCTGGAAAACACTGGGAAAACTGGGAGACATTGGTGTAGGAAAAGACTTCTTAAATTAGACCCCCAAAGCACAGTCAATAACTCCTAAAATAGACAAGAGGGATTATATCATACTAAGTTTCTGCATGGCAAAAGACACAGTGATTAGTGTAAATCAACAGCCTTCAGAATGGGAAAATATTTTTTGTAAATTATACATCAGATTAGGGTCTGACACCGGAATACACAAGGAACTCAAGCCACTGTTTGGAAAAAAGTTGATCAACCCTATTTAAGGACAGAAGAAAGAGTTGGAAAAAACCTCTCTCTAAAGATAACATACGAATAGCCAAAAGGCGTATGAAAGAATGCTCAGCATCCCTCATTGTAAGGGAAATGCAGATCAAAACAACAATGAGGTACCACCTAACCCCAGTTAGAATGTCTAAGATTAAAACAAAAACAAAAACAAAGAATGATAAGTGTTGGCAGGGGTGTGGTGAAAGGGGAACTCTTTTACACTGCTGGTAGGAATGTAAATTTGTCCAGCCACTGTGGAGAACAATTTGGAGATTCCTCAAAAATCTACAAATAGAACTACCATATGATCCAGCAATCCCACTCGGTATCTACCCAAAGGACAGAAGAATTCTTCATTGGAAAAGTGCTTGCACATCGATGTTTTTTGTGGCACTATTCAAGATTACTTAGACATGAAACCAACCAACCCAAATGTCCCCATATGGATGAATGGATTGAAAAACTGCCACATATATTCTATGGAATACTATTCAGGTATAAAACCCAACAAAACCCTGGCTTTTGACAGAAAGTGGAAGAATATGGAAGATTTACTGCTGAGTGAAGCAAGCCAGGTTATGAAGGAGAGACAGTGTATGTCTCCACTTTATATATACTGAGTGTCTTCACTCTATGACCAAAACTGATTGACCAAAAGATGTACATACAGGACCAGCAGTTAACGTAATGGACTCCCACGTAGTTGACTCCCATGCTGGACTCCCACGTAGTTGACCGCGGTTTGTGTCCCGGACCTGGACTCACGCTGGGCACATGTGTGTGTGTGCCCAAGATCCCGAGAGGAGAACAGAGGAGAAGGGATTGTGGTGTGGCCCTCCCCCCTGGGGGGTGATTTCTCGCTTTCTGTCTCTCTGTCTGTCTGGCGAGCACACGCGCCCTATAGCAAAAACCTCTAAAAAATAAAAAAAAAGATGTACATATAAAGGAGATGGGTGTAAATGCCAGATGCAGTGTGTGTGTAGGAGTGGGGCCTAGGGAAGGTAATTTCGAGGAGGAATACAGAGGCAGAGCATTGATGGGACGGGGAGGTGTGGTGTTATCTGTTGAAGATATTTTGATCAACTGGACTGGGGAGAAATGTTCACATATTGAAATACTCACTTTGTAAGCTAAACAATGTGATTGAATGTATATTAAAAAATAAATAATAAATGAAAAATGTTGGTTATTTAGTTTCCATGTATTTGTGTATTTTTGAGGTTTTACACACACACACACACACATATATTATACATTCCATCATTATTTAACTTACAAAGTGAATATTTCAATATGTGAACATTTCTTTCATATCTAGTTGATCAAAATATCTTCAACAGATAACACCACTACCTCCCCGTCTTGTCAATGCTCTGTCTCCATATTCCTCCTCCAAATGTCTTTCTGGATCTGTCTAATCCCTCTGGCAGGGTGAAGGATGAGGAAGAGAGGATAATGTAAGAGGAAAGAAAAAAGTATAGATGAAATTAGAGAAAAAGTCACCTGTGAGCTAGAGATGGAACGGGAGGGCTCCTGTAGGGCAAGGGCCTGTCTGGTCTGTGGGACAAGGGGGAGAAGAGAATTAGCAAAACAAAAAGAAAGAGAAAAGAAGATTGGGTGGGGTCCTTGTCTTGGGAACCTGGAAGTGGGCTGGGGACAGTAGTGCTCTGGCTTCAGTTTCCATTGCTGGCCAGTGGGCTAGAGATGGTACAGTATTTCTTTTTCCAGCACTAATACCATGCATATAAGTCAAGAGAAAGGTTTACTCTGTACCTTATCATCAACAAATAGCTTCTCATTTTTTGTCAATTCAGCATACTTTTTCTTTTTTTTTCCCTTCCCCTCCCTCCAGTCTATCCTAAACTTTTTTTTTTCATATTTTATTGATTCACAAAATATCTTAAACTAAAATTATGGACAAAGGTGGAATCTAGTGACAAGTGCACTGTAATTTTCTTGTCAAACATTTTTTCTCTCTCTGTTTCCCCTTTTACTAAAGAGAGGTATAAACTAACTTATCTTCAAAAAAATCTCAACTTGGTCTGTTATTTGTACAAAGCACCATAAAAATTCAATTTCTGATGCAAGGATACAAATACTGAATTTATACAAATAGGCATTTTGTCACAAAATAAGAATGCTCACACATATTTTCCAAATGCAAAGGGGTCATAAAGGGAAACAATATTATTCAATTTTTTTAAAAAATTAACAAATTGTTGAACCTATCAACAACTCACAAGAGAACCAATTCTTAAATCTGGAAGACAAAGCATAGGAGAAAATTAGTAAAGGTTTAGACAAAAGTCATAGAATTCTATTTCACCAGTTCAATCTCATGTAATCTCTCTTTTGTTGACTTTGCAGTGCTACTGTGATAAGATGTTTCCTTTTAAATCTTGTGCGTTAACATTCAACTTTTTTTTTTTTTTTTGGTATTTTCAAACTTGTCCCTACCATTAAGTTGGCCTTTTTCTTAGTCATTTTTGTTCTCTTATTTCTGTCTGTCTTTAGTTTTCCTGGTATAATACTCCCTTCAGAGCTTCTTGAATAGTTGGTCTGGTGTCGATAAATTCTTTCAGGTTTTGTTTATCTGAGAATGTTTCTGACTTTTCTTTCTATATCTTGCTGGATATAGTAATCTTGGCTGAAATTGTTTTTCATTTAACACTTTTAATATATTTTCCCATTTTTTCCTTGCTTGCATTGTTTCTGACAAGAGGTCTGATGTTAGCCTGATGGGATATTCTTTGAAAGTAACTTACTTGCCTTTTCTTTCTTGCCAATTTTAGTATCTTGTCTCTGTTGTGATTTTGGTCAATCTGGCTATGATATACCTTGGAGATCTTCTTTGGTTGAATCTCTGCAGGGTCCTTGTTATTTTTTGGGTCTGGATCTTTGAATGCCTCTCTATGTTTGGAAAGTTTTCTTCCAGGATTTCATAGAATAGATTATTAACGCCCTGATGAGTTTCTTCACCTTCTGTGATACTAATTATCAGAATGTTTGAGTGACTAATGGTATCCAGTATTACTCGTGTATTATTCTTTTTTTGGGGGGGGGTTATTTTCTCAGTCTTTTTTAGTGACTTTTTCTAGATCAGAGATATCTTCTACATCTGAGATTTGGTACTTCTGGTACTTCTATGCCAGTTTTGCCTCTTACTACTGTGTTTTGCAACATGATATCCACAGAAAACTATTTAAGTTCAGATTTATAAAGATGAGTTTTCTTTTTCTGTAGCAGTTCAATGGGGGTTGAAATTTTCTATGATCCTAAAGGTATTCAGATTTTTTACTACTGTGTACCTAAACCTGTCTAGACACTCAAAGTGTGGAAGCTGAGAAGCAAAGTGAGAAAGTCAAGTAAAAGAAAAGAAAAAAATGTGAAAAAGACAGAACAAACAAACAAACAAACAACAATGAAAAGGAAAAAAAATATTAAAAAAAGGCAAAAAAAAAAAAACAAAACCAACACCAAAACTATGTGGCACAGAGTGCCACACGAAGGGGGCAGAACTGAGCCCACCTCAGATGCACATGGATTCTGAAATTAACAAGTGAAAGTAGAGGTCAGAGGCAAGAGACAGTAGTTACAGAATTTTAAAAACCTATAGGAAAGGGAAAGGGATAGAGAGAGACAGAGACAGAAAGAAGACAAAGACCAGCCTACCTCACTTCACTAGGAGTTTTGGGGCAGAGGCTTAGGCTTTCCAGTTAAAGGGGCAGAGCTGGGCCACCTCACATGCACATGGATTCTTGCTTCACTAGGACTTGGGCCAGAAGGGTGGAATAGATTATCAATGCCTTTATTAGCTTCTTCACCAATGTTTTTCAACCCTTTTATATAAACACGCTTTTTTTTTTTTTTTTTTTTTTTTTTTTTTTTGAATAGTGTCCAATTCTTTCATATCATGGAGGGACTTTCTCATCTCTTGGAGGTCAATGTCTTTTTTTCTCTTGCCTCTCATAAAGTTTTGTCACCATAAATATTCTAAACTCTTTTTCTGGGGACCAGCAGCTAGCGTAATGGCTAAGTAGCTGGACTCCCATGTAGTCGACCGCGGTTCGAGTCCCAGATCCAGTGGCTTAAACTCAGGCCTGGTGCATGTACGTGCGTGCCCAGCATCCCGAGAGGAGAATGGAGGAGAAGGGATTGCGACATAGCCATTACACTAACTGCTAGTTCCCCTGTTGTGCTTACTTCTAATTCCCCCATTTGTCCCACAGTGTCTAAATTGACAAATCAGGATTTAACATTAAAGCAAAATTCCACATCACTCTTAAGTTAGTAGGAACAGCCCTGATCTATAACTTCATGGCCTTTCCATAAAAAGAACTCCCTTGGGACCAGCAGTTAGCGTTAATGGCTATGTCGCTGAACTCCCATGTAATCAACCCCAGTTCCAGTCCTGGACCCGGTGGCTTAAACTCACGCTGGGCGCGTGTGCGTGTGTGCCCAAGATCCCGAGAGGAGAAGGGATTGCGGATGATTTCTAGCTTTCTGTCTCTCTATTTTTCTCTTTCTGGCGAGCGCAGGCGCCCTATAGCAAACAACCTTCTCCCGGTTGGAAAAAACTACACATGCTTCCTTGGTTCCTGACAGCCGCAGGGTCTTGTGGGAAATGTAGTCTTCCCTTTAGTGACGTCACCAGCTCAGATCCAGAATGGATCTTCCTAGTTCCTTCAGCGCGTATGCGGCTACACCCACTACCGCCATCTTACCCCGGAAATTCTGGACCCTGCGCTGTCCCGACGCTGCCCAGCAGGCCCTGGCTATGGATTCTGTGTCCCTGGAGGTGGGTACGAGGATGAAAGAGGAGCTCTGCGGGCCTTGGGAATTCTGTGAGGGAAGGGAGGGTGTTCTCCCCAGTTGGTAGGAGCAGGAACGTGAGTGTATGTCAGGCGGGCGGGGCCTGACGGGCAGGTGGAGCCCCGGGCCTGGGCCGATGGGAGGGCTTCAGGGGCTCCGGCATTTGCAGGTCTCGGCTCGGAGAAGGAGTGGGCGGGCTGTGTGGGCAATGATTGCCTGCCTTGTCAGAAGGCGGGTGTGTGTGTCCAGGTATACAGAGATAGTTCCAGAAGCTCTGAGAATGGGGTGGTCCAGTCCAAAATGGCGACGTGGTGGGGTATGATGACCAGTTGGGGGTGCGGAGGTCTGCACATGAACGGGACCTGGGAAGTCTGAGATGAGTTCACATTCCAGCTTTGCAGCCATAGGATCCTTTTGCTATCTTACATGACATTCAGTTTACGCGACTATAACACTAGCGTATAAACAGTGTTAGTGAAATGCCCCAGATTCCCAAGAGAAATAACTGATCTGTGTGTAGGGCCAGATTCCCAAGAGAAATAACTGATCTGTGTGTAGGGCGACGCTTTCTGCGTGGCAGTTGTATTTGTAGGGTGTCTTGTCTCTTTAGCAAGTGAAGTTTCTAATCTTTTTGCAACTTGTATCCTGCGTAGCACTCCTGGTTTTAGTTTACATACAGATGTTTATAGAAGACCTAGTTTCCAGGGGCAGTGCATTCCACAAGGGAGGTTGGAGTACTGGATGATGGTCTTGTTTTCTTTGGGATAAAATAGTTGCAAAGTTTCAAGGAGGGCACCCTGTGAATAGGAATCCCACCCTAGAGAACACTTCTTTACCCTGAGCTTTCTCACTACTGCTTCAGCACAGAGGTGGAAGGATCTCATAAGGGGAAGATCCTGCCTTTGCATGACCTGAGTATTATTAGTTCACCTGACTAGAGTGAACAAGGTTTGTGTAGTTATCTCTCCTCTGGATGTTCACAACTAGGTGGTAAGGGAGGGTTGGACAAATTTTCAGAACAGACAGATGAGATGGGTTGAGATGATAGGCAAGGGCCTGGGAAATGTTACTTATTGGAGCCGTCTTGAAAGTGTGGTCTGGAGTGGAGGGATACCCTGTCACACCTGAGAGGGTGTATGTAGTGTTTCTAACCCATTGCAATTTTTTCATTCTCCCCTCATTGTTTTCAGAGTTTGAGCTCTGTCAATCCTAGCCTGTCTTCAAATTTGGCCTCTAGAGATATGCTAGTGCTATCTTTATGTTGCTAGTTGATCCTGGTAGTTCAGGAAGAGTTTGTCAGGGTCATTTTTGCCTTATAAGAAAGATGGGGAAAAAAAGTAGTTTTGAGTAGATAGTACTAGCCCAGAATCATATGATTCATAGAAGTTAAATATTCTGGCTTTTTTGCTTATTACGTGTTCTGCCACAATTTTGTGAAAACAAGGTTTTTTTTTTTTTTTGAGAGGTTTTTGCGATAGAGTGCATGCACTCACCCGAAAGACAGAGAGAAAGAGAGACAGAAAGCGAGAAATCGTCCCCTGGGGGGACGGCCATACCACAATCCCTTCTTCTCCAGTCTCCTTCTCCACTCTCCTCTCATTTTTATCAGTAATATTTTCTGCAGATTATGACTTCAGAGAGTTAATACAAGTGTTTCCCATTTAATGTTTATCACGAATCCTTGAAAATCACATTTTTAAATAAAATGATAAAAGCCTGTTTTACGTTATTTAAAATGGGAAAATTAGACTGCATCACAGTTTTGCTCCAAATCAGTTTCATAAAATATAATTAAAATATTTAGTGCAATGCCCTCTTTTTTTTTTTTTTTTTTTTGAGGGGGTTTCTATAGGGCGTGTGCGCTCGCCAGACAGAGAGAGACAGAGAAACAGAAAGCGAGAAATCAACCCCCACGGGGGATGGCCATGCCGCAGTCCCTTCTCCTCCGTTCTCCTCTCGGGATCTTGGGCACACATGCCCACGCGCCTGGCGTGACTCCCATGTAGTCGACCACGGTTCACATCCCGGACCCGCGGTCGACTACATGGGAGTCCAGCGACATAGCCGTTATGCTAACTGCTGGTCCCGATGCCCTCTTATAAGTAACTCTTTATGTTTTTTTAAAGAAAGTAGACTTTCATCATTCAAAGAGAAAACTTAAAACATAGTAATGTATAAACTGTTACTTTTTATGATTCACATGGATTTTACTAGCACTGGAAACCTCACCGAAGTTCACCTACATTCTTTGTAATTTTCAATACTTATACAAGTGGTTGTGAAGTTCATGTGATATTTTTTGGCATGGATTTTGTGACTTTTTGTTGCACATAATTTTGTTAGAAACATTGAGTTCTGTGTGGTTAGATGTATTAGATAGTATTTACTGTGTAACCAGCCAAAATTTACTAGGTCCAAAAATCCCCAGCCATTCTATTTGTAATTCTGTGGATCCAGTATGGATTCAGCCATATAGTTCCCATAGTAATTTTTTCTAGATCACAAATGAGGCTTTAGTCATCTGGTACCCTGACTGTGGCTGGCTTGTTTGAGGTAGCTTTTACTCACATGTCCAGTATTTGGTTTTGGCTCTTAGCTAGAGTCTGTGTATCAGGTAAGCATCAGAGGGCAAATAGTTTTCTTTCTTTCGTGTGTGTGTGTGTGTGTGTGTGTGTGTGTGTGTGTTTTCTCTTTTTTTTTTTTTTGAGAGGTTTTCGCTATAGGGCGCATGCGCTCGCCAGACAGAGTCATAGAGACAGAAAGCGAGTAATCACCCCCCAGTGGGGGATGGTCACGCTGCAGTCCCTTCTCCTCCATTCTCCTCTCGGGATCTTGAGCATGCACCCACATGTGCCCGGCGTGAGTTTTAAGTCACCAGGTCCCGGACGCGAACTGTGGTCGACTATGTGGGAGTCCAGCGGCATAGTCATTATTCTAACTGCTGGTTCCCTTGTATTTTCTCTTCTTAAAAATAATTTTTATTTATTTATTTATATTTTATTTCAGAGGACAAATAATTTTCAACTTACTGATGTCTCATTAGCCAAACCAAGTTAAATGGCAAAGCCCAGGTTATTGTCAGAAGGTACTATGTGAGTGCGTAGATACAGGGAGATGTGTCACGGGGAACCATTACTGGAACAGTGTATCACAAAAAGTATGAATTATATACATTTTTTTCTAAATAATTATGGACAGAAAATAATGGATTATAATATGTGTGCTTTCCATGAAGTTTCATTATATGAGAATCCTTCAAAAAGTTCGTGAAAAATGTACATTATTAAAAAAACTATGGATTTCAAAATTATTTTGTGCCAAAATAAACTTGTATGGTGTTGTGGATAAACTCACATGGAGTCCTGGGTCGTATCCCCATATTAATACAAACATAGTTTCTGGAGCTCAAGTATATTTCTATAATATAATTTTTAGTAAACACATAATGTTTTTTCCTTTTACTTAAATTGTTAAAATCCTTCTTTGGGAAATAGTAATTGTTGCTAAATCAGTAGGTAGTGGGCATTTTCATTAATTCAAAAATGATTTATCGTATGTCAAATCTCTACTGGCTAATGGACTTGCGAGTGCATCTTCAGTGGGGTCCTTGTTCTCACTTAAGGCATAAAGAACTATTATCCTACAAGGAAGCTTTTTTCTTTTTTTTTTCCCTTGTATTTTCCAGTTGATGTGTAGAATTTAGGGCAGGAGAATCTAGGACTACGCTACACCAACCTCTCATGAGTCCACTTCATCACCACCTATGCCAGCTATGCTTCCAGATTTCTCTCTGCATTTCCAAGAGCAGCTAAAAATGAATAAATCTCTGGTGAGTTATTTATTCCTCACTTTGTTTTATTTTGTACTTTATGAACTTTATGGAGTCCAATTATTAAAATGGAAAAGTAGAAATAAATGACATATAGCTTCAGTGAAATGTCCATAAACATGATAAAGTGAACATATAGGTATAGGCAGGTTATAAGACCTTAGTTGGGTGAAAATTTGTCTCTGTGAAGTCATGACAGAAAGTCAGTCAACATTTGTTGCGTGTTTCAGTGGAACTAAGAGAAGAGCATGCTTCATTCTCAAGGGACCTTTCTGTGTCCAGCACAGCTAAAAGAACACCTGCTCTGGGATGGATGACAGCCATGGATTTGAGAATAAACATAGAAATAAACACACACAGACATACAAGTAAAAAAAAAGTGGGGATTGGGTGGTCTCAACTGTGATGGAGGCAGCCATGATCCTGAACTGTTCCTAAGTTTATTCTTGTTAAGGGCAGAAAACGAGGTAAGGGGGAGTGGGATGCAAGGCCAGTTGTTTTCTGATGTTAGTCGCCTGAAGATATGGAGACACCTGGTGACATGTAGTTCTCTGTAAATTTTCTCTAATCTTCTTGGGCCAATTTTTATTAACTCATGTGGCTTCCTTTAACCCAATGCTGCTGTACAATTTTGGAAATGTAGAGGCAGTTAACGTATTCACATGTAATGGCATTCATTGCCCTGCAAATGACTGCCCATGGAACAAAGTCTTTTGCAATATTTTAAACTTACTGTCTGTGATCTACTCCTGGAAATTATTTTTTGTTAGTTTTTATGTGGCCTTGGATGATTTCTTGTTTGTTTCTATAAATTTTCCTGCTTTCCTTTGCTCCTTACCATAGCTTGTCTAAGTACTCCATCCTGGGTCATATTCTTCTCACTCCGCAATTCTCTTTGACTGATTCAGCTCTCTGTGGTTTGGCAATCCTAGCTATTTGCTTATTTTTTAATTTATTTTTCAAGAGGTGTTTGCTATATGGTACGTGTGCCCGCCAGAAGGAGACAGAGAGACAGAAAGCGAGAAATCACCTCCCAGGGGGATGGCCACGTTCTCTTCTCCTCCATTCTCCTCTTGGAATGGGCACACGTGCACACGCACCCAGTGTGAGTTTAAACCACCAGGTTCGGGACTCGAACCACAGTCGGCTACATGGGAGTCCAGTGACATAGCCATTACGCCAACTGCTGGTCCTAATCCTAGCTATTTCTCTCCAGCTTGGACCTCTTACCCAGCCTTTAGATCATAGGTTCTACTCTGTATCAAATGCTTCTCTGTAAATATCCAAAAGGTACCTCAAACCTCAACAAATCCAAAATGAAAACCACATCAAACTGTTGTCTTTTACATATGGTATTCTATGTAGTATGTGATTCAAACCAACAAAACAGATTTATCCTGGATTCCTTTCAAATCTAATCTCACTTGATACCAAATCCTACTAACTATTGTTCTTTTCCTTTTATTCTAATGTTTTTAGAGTGCTAGTACAGAGGTAGAAGGTATAGAGGTACACAAATATAGTGACTTCCTTACATTGAAAATGACATTCTTGGCAAAACTTGAAGAATGTGTTTGCTTAGTGATAAGGTTCAATGCTTCAGAAACTGTGATTCTGAACAGCACATACATGTCCACAGGGATAAAGCATGTAGGAGTTAGTGGGACACGTTTAAACACGGGTTAATAAAAAGATATGCAAATAATGAAGATAAGAACCATGAATTTAAATAATTTGTGCCTTAAGCATGAAAACACAAACACACACACACATTTTTGCATATAAAAACATAGAAAAATATGTCATGACTTTTCTGACAACCCAATATTTACATTATGTATATTTCTTTGTATAGGTTGTATACATTATATATGTTTGTGTGTTTCTGGCTCAGAAATGTTTGTCATGTTTTCAAACTTTTTAAAATTTAAGTAATTATTTTTTATTTAACTTTATTTGTTTTAAATTGATCAGAGAGAGAGAGAGAGAGAGAGAGAGAGAATAAGTGGGAAAGCAAGCCACCAGGTCCAGGATTCCAACCACAGTCAGCTATGTAGGAGTTCAGCACCCTTAATCACCACACCACCTGCCGGCCCCATGTTTTCAAACTTTAAAGCATCTTCTTTAGTTCTTCCATTATTTAAATTAATCACTTAAAAATTAATAGGGGTGAATAGATGCATTTATTAGTCAACTTTACAACTATGTACTAGAACTGTGGTTAATTAACAGACTTTAAAAAATTGTGATAAAATATCCATAATCTCAAATATGTCACATTAACCATTTTTACATGTGCAGTTAGTTCACTGTCACTAATTTGCCACCTTCACCACCATCCTTCTACAGAATTTTTCAGCCTTCCTCATCTGAAACTCTATACTCAGTAAATACTGAATGTCTGTACCTTTCTACCCTAGGCTCTGGCAACCCCTATTCTTTCTTTCTCTTTTCTTGTCTACTCTAATTACTTATATATGGAATCATACCATTATTTGACCTTTTGGGACTGGTTTATTTCACTTAGCATACAGTCTTCAAGATTTATTCATGTTGTAGAGTATGTAAATTTTTTTCTTTTGTACATCTCATTATACATACATGCCACATTTTAGTTTTTTAATTCATCTCTCAGAAGATGGCTGGGTTAATTCCCCTCATTTGGATTTTGGGAACAGTGCTGATATGACCATGATTTGACAAATAACTATTTTAGTCCCTACTTTAACTTCTTTTAGGTATATACCCAGAACTGGAATCGGTGGATCATATTCTAATTCTGTGTTTAATTTCTTCAGGAATCTCCATACCATCTTTTACAACTGTTGCACTATTTTGCATTTTTACCAGTAATGCACGGGGTTCAAATTGCTCCACCTCCTTGGAAACACTTATGATTTTTTGTAATGTTCTGTTTTTAATAATGGTCATTCTGATGAGTCGGAAGTGGTATTTCATTGTGGTTTTTGCTTGTATGTTTCTAATAATATTGATATAGAATATCTTCATGTTTATCAGCGATTTGTATATTCTTTGTAGATATGTATGTTTAACCCTTTGCCCATTTTTTGTAAGAATTACTTATTTACCTTGGTCCATTTAAAATTTTTTAAAAAAAATTACTTTAACTTTATTTATTTATTTATTTATTTATTTTTAATCTGACCAGAAAAGGACAGAGTGAGAGAGAGAAAGAGAGAGAAAGTGAGAAAGCAAGCTGCTAGGTCTGGGACTCAAACTGTGGTTGGCCACATGGGAGTCCAGTGCCCTTACCAACCCTGCCACATGATGGTCTACCTCTGTCTATTTTAAATAAGTTTTTTTTTTTTCTTTCAGTTTTGAGTTAGATTTTGTTTATATTTTGGATATTAATTTCTTAAGGGATACATGATTTGCAGATATTTTCTTCCATTGTGCGGATTGCATTTTTGCTCTGTTGACGGTGCACTTCAATGCACAAAAGGTTTTAATTTTATATGATTCAACTTACCTATTTTTCTCTTTTGTTACTTCTGCTTTGGGTGTTATATCCAAGAAATAAATTGCCAAACCTAATTCTTTCCTGTGTTTTTTTTTAACTGAAGAGTTTAAGTTTAGTTTAGTTTAATATCATAACATGAAATATGAGATGATTGTTATGCCTTTATTTACAAACCAATATTTAAACACTTCATCTTCAAATTAAAGTACTGTTGTTCATCTCTAATAACTCCATTGGGTTCTCTTTTTATGACAGATTATGTTGACTAATCAAGTTGCTCAGGCCAAGCTGTATTCAAGAGGAATTAGTTTCCATCTCAAAGGCAGTACTTGGAAATAATTTGTGACCTCCCCCCACCTTTTTTGACTCTTAACTCCTTATTCCCTACCTTAACCCTAATCTCTGTGGCCACCTTTAATTTACTACAGATGCCATTGTTACAATATATCTTGTTCTAGATGAATTCTAATTTTCCTGTGATTTCTTCTTTCCCTTGGAGATTTAGTTAGAAGACTATTATTTAGTGTTTAAATATTTAAATCTCTTTGGACTAAATTTTTCTTATTCATTTTTAATTTAATTCCATTATGGTAGAGGACTGTGTGGAGACTTGTTTTATTGCTCAACCTAGGTTCTGTCTTGGTGAATATTCCACATAATGCTTATAAATCTCAGGTCAAGATAGTATCATTCACATTTTTAATTTTTGTCTAGTTTCGTCAGTAACTAAGAGGGGATAATGTAATTGTGGATTTTCATATTTTTCTCTTTAGTTCTGTTGTTTTTGCATCATGTCTTTTTTTTTTTTTTTGGAGAGGTTTTTGCTATAGGGCTTGTGTGCTTGCCAGACAGACAGAGACAGAGAGACAGAAAGCGAGAAATCCCCCCACCCCCCCGGGGCAGATGGCCACGCCGTAATCCCTTCTCCTCCATTCTCTTCTCGGGATCTTGGGCACGCACGCACACGCGCCTGGTGTGAGTTTAAGCCACTGGGTCCAGAACTCGAACCACAGTCGACCACGTGGGAGTCCAGCGACATAGTCATTACGCTAACTGTTGGTCCCGCATCATGTCTTTTGAGGATTTGTTTTAGGCACATACTTTTTTATTTTTTTAAGTTTACGTATTTATTTCTTCCATGAGAGACAGGTATTCTCAACAGGGTTTTCACACTGCATTCCAGCCTAATCTCAGCTGGCCTAGGTCACAGGCATGCATGATTATGTATGTGTACCATTCTCAAGGAGGTCCTGGGAGTGAACCTTGGACCTTTCCCAGGTGGGTCCAGTTGTATTACTGGTATACCATAACCTTGTCCTAGGCATGTACGCATTTAGAATTGTTTTATCATCCCTGCGTGTGATCTATTCATTATAAAAGGTTTCTCTTGAGCTGTGGTAATGCTTTTTATCTTGTAGTCTGTTTTGGTAGTCATATCTCTTGATATGACCCCCCCAATTGCCAGTGGGTATGTGCACTTGAAAGAGAAAAACAGAATGGGAAGAAAGCACTCTCCATT